TTAATAAACAGTACAATCCGTTGAGAGGCTTCAAAAAGCGGGTATAAAAATAAGCGGACGTAGCTTATGACAGGAAAGGCGATTAACATATTTGTCCCTCGAAGGCAGAAATAAACGTTTTGAGCAGATCGGAGTACACGAACTCGACACATCCTGAAGTCTCGATAGTCGATTTGTGCATGCGTGTCCTACATAAGACAAACATACCTCCCATTAGGTAAACAGATGCTAAAATTGGCAGGCAGCGTTCAAAATGAGCATATTGTGTGTCGGAAACCACTCAGGACCATTTGCTGTTACCCTTTGAAAACAATGTATAATCATTTATACCCAACACGATTATCCAATACCTGTGTGTATATTTTCTGTATAGTGCAAGTCTTTCCTCGTGATCTTCATGCGTGACGTAAGCATACATGGACAACTCAAACGTCAAAATCTGACAATGTACACAATTATCATTCTACTCACGTATTTCTCCTGCCGCAAAATGTGATCGCATATACCTGCTGGGTCAGTGTGACATGTTTGTCTGTATCTACACTAGAGTGACAAAAAACTGACAGTGATGTACTGCAGGGTGTGGAGCGGTGCGCTCGGCATACGTAAATAAGTCCTGTTTCGTTTTACAAGGGACAAATATAGAGTTACACACAGGAAAACTCGTCAGCCAGAAGGTTATATGTCTTGCCGTAACCGTAACGATCTACTGCTCCATTTAAACTACTTTGATATAGATCAAAATCGTTATTTGGGATCTGTTGAATGATACGGTTGTAATATAGATGCCCGAAATCGTTATTTGGGAGCTGTTGAATGATACGGTTAAAACAATGATACGGTTAAAACATTACAGTAGAGCATTATAAAATATTGATCTGTGGGAATTCGAATGTGTAATTATCGAAAGTTAATTAAGAAATACACTTCGCTTTACCACCATGTATGGTGTAAAAACATTTTCTTTGCCCTGAACTATTATAGTTAAAGCACGAGGACGCTTGCGTCCGAGTGCTTTAACGTTATAATAGTTCAGGGCGAAAGTGTGTTTTATTACACTATACATGGTGGTAGAGCGAAGTGTATTTCTTTCTAAGATGCCAAATTTAATACTTTCTAAAGATAATTACGATTAATTTAAGGCAGAAAACAAACGACGGTGTCGGTGACCTAAATTAAGAATCCTCGCACAGGGCTAACTGGCGCGCTGTTCTATTGATGTGTCTGCCCCTACGTTAAGACGAACGTTACCAGAAAACCAAATGATAACAGTTTGATGACGGTTTACGTTCGGATTAAATATCTACTCTGAATTATTTTAATTACATCTGCCATTAACGTAAACCATATGGGGCAATATGAACGTTGCATTTCTACTACCAGCGTAAGTTTAGATCAGTACATCCAGAGGAAGTTGAGTAGTCAAGCGACATTCCACAATTGCATTGTGGGAATGTAAACATTACGAACGTTACCGTGTCGCTGAAAACGTGTGAGTCGAAATGACACATTTTAACCGTCGTAAAACATAAACGTAATGTTTCCACCAGTGATGTTAGCTGCGTGAAGCAACAGCAAACCAAGAAACGGGATGCAACGGTGTAGTTTACTGTAGGAGGCCGTACGAGGCGATGACAACTGACATGCATCGTGACGTCGCTTACATTGTGACGTAATGTAAAATGGTTCGATTACGAGGGGGCACACTAGAATGGCGCATTGACGGGATAACGTCATTCAATTGTTACGTCATCAAAAAACTATACCTTTATTGTCTGATAATGTATTTTTTTTCGATTGTTCTAACCACTAGGCATCTTAGAACTTTAAACATATCGATTCAGTGTCTATATATAGCCAGTTGTACAACTGTACACACGTGCAAACTGTTCTTCAGCACCCCTTGCTTATCGTAAGAGGCGACAAACGGGATCGTGTGTTCTGGCTCGCTGACTTCACGATGCATTCCATAGTATCCCAGTAGCAAAGATCGATCCTCGTGATGCTAATCACTGGATTGTCTGATCTAGACTCGATTACCAACAGATCGTGGTCATATTGCCGCGTTTTACAACAAAGACTGACTGACTGACTGAGTTTGGTTTTACGCCGCTTTTAGCAATATTCCAGCAACATCACGGCGGGGGACACCAGAAATGGGCTTCACACATTGTGACCATGTGGGGATTCGAACCCGGGTCTTCGGCGTGACGAGCCAACGCTTTAACCATTAGGCTACCCCACCGCCCCTTTACAACAAAGAAACAACTGTACAAGCGGATAAGGGATTGTAAGGAAGGAGGTGAGTGGTACTCTGTATGCAAGAGTAATTAATAAATATTTTATTTATTTATTGTTTTCTTGTGACACGATACTCTGCGATGCCATATGGCCTCAGCCTGGAAAACCTGTCTGGACCAGAAAAAACAGTGACTGATGTAATGAACGACGGTTCAAGCTGTCGGGTCCCATGACACCCCTTCGTACGTAGCTCGATGCTCATGTTGTTGATCACTAGATTGTTTGGTCCAGACTCGATCATTTACAGACCGCCTCTCTATAGCTGGAATATTGCTGAGTGCGGCGTTAAACAACAAACCAACGGTTGCTGGAGAATTAATTCTAATTCCCACCAAAGGATTTATTTTTAAAGTTATTAATTAAAAATAGGAACACGGCGTGTCACGATTGTTGAAAGCAGATGGTAGTATCGAAGAAGCAATAAGAGAAGGGTTGTAAGAGGTGCAAGATTGCTTCAAATGTCCTACATTGATAATAGGCCTTGTTTACACTGTCCACTTGACCACTGTATCTTAAAAAAGGACGTTAATGTAGTGAGTATGGTTTTACACATTGTTATCTTTTGGTATGAAATAAAGGAAAACAGCAAAGAATGAGTGAGTGAGTTTAGGTTTACGTCGCTCTCAGCATTATTCCTGCAATCTCACTGCGGGGTACACCAGAAATGGGTTCACACATTGTACCCATGTGGGTATCGGCGTGACGAGCGAATGCTTTAACCACTAGGCTACCCCACAGCCCCTTCTCTAGAATGATTGAGTGGGTGATTTGGGCTTCACAACACTGAACAGTTTTCGGGGTCTATTTAACGGGAACTGTCAGCTGAATGTGCGCAAACGTTCATATATAACCTTGATGAAAACCACGGGGAAGCCCGTGGTGTTCATAAACCTAGAAACACAATCACCCGGATTAGAACCAGTAGGAAGTGTCTGGCGTGACCAAGGGACGTTGCTCTACGGAGCGAATTGCAGCAACTAACACGACCTGGCAACCCGTGTCCCTTCTCGGAAATACATCACAGGAATAATTATCACAGTACACGTAATGTGATTGTTTCAATAAGCATATTGAAATAACGCTTTCGTACTCAGCAACCAACGCTACCAGTTGGTAATGACGAGACGTGTGTTTGTGCGCCATCAGTCTTCAGGGGGTATCGTGCACGTCACACGTTTTGACTTGTTTACCATGTTACTGGTACAAGCGTTTTAGTGATGAGAGGGTCGGAACGGGTGTCCGTCGCATGCATATTGACATTTTCACAGTTGAGGAGGACTTGGTTTGGTTTTGCATAGCTTTCAACGGTATTTCAGTTATTATGACGCTGAATGTGAGAGAAACGTGGGGCAGGTGTTCGATGTTTACCTTTTTCGATGTCACCCATGGGCACAGGTATGGTGCAGATAAACACGACTAGAGTAGGAAAGGTTAATTTGATGTCAGTCTCCTACTTTTATGAAACCATCAAACAAGGGAACATAGCGAGAGACCAGCGATCCTAATCAGAGCCACGATTAATACCCAGAGGATTAATCACGGCAAAGGGTCGTAACTCTGCACAGCTGTCTCCCAAACTCCCCGCTGGTGTGCATTAACACTTCAGCTTAGTTCCATCTCGGCTGTGTGACCCAGTCACAGCTGTTCTCCAGAGTATGCGTGAATTATATATCAGGATATCACTGACCCGTCGGGGAGGGAGGAGGGGAAAATATCAAAATGTGTATTAAACCTATCTGGAACCCTCATATCCATTTCCATGAACTCCCTATAAAACCAATTACAAATGAGTTCAGTAAACATAGATTTATAAGAAAGTACCCCACAAAGAAGGGACATATGTTAACCTCACCTGACTTCATAAGAGCAGAACAAACACCAGCAATGTTTAACCTATTCACCTGGATGAATATTATACTTAACTGAGATAATATTTTCAGTTTGTATGCTAGTATATGTCGCCAGCTGGCTCGCAAGCCACGAGCGGGTTTAAGTACCCAATAACTTTTATGACGATTTTTTTGTGACATTACACAAGACTAGAAGAGAAAGGTGCTGAAGTCATTTCCAAATGTCAACCTCAATCCCCCTAATGCTGCTAACCATAGTACAATTTAAATACATGATTGTGATTCAGAATACCGTTCTGTGTGTTTGTAATACAGTGGATTGCAAGCCTGCATCATATGAAATATTTGGGTACACTGTCACTCTTGTATGACCAGATCCTGTAATGATGGCGGGATACTTTGAATATGCTGTCAGAATTCGAGCCTTACCATCCAATCCATATTGTCTGAAAGGTAGACAAACCCTATACAAAAGCCAAATGTTCCCACTTAAGAAGCAAAATCTTATTATAAAGTAATTTACATATTTAAATATTACATTGCAAACTCTAGAAAATCTTCTTAATTCAGTTAATTAATTAATTTGTAAAATTTCAGCAGTTCTTGATAATTTGATTAATTTTTGGTTGTTTCAATCATAATCTTTCTTAGATGCATAGATCATTTACTCCACATGCTGAAATTAACACAATATAATACACAATACTGGATAGTAGTCCAAATGAGGACAAATATCAAAGTCATGAGAAGAAATATATAAGAGATGTTGATTCACCATAAATATGGTCAAGCAGCAAAGTGGCACCATAAGGCTTTGTAACTTGAAACAATACAACACAAACACCATTATCATCTGCACAGCTGTTTATGACGTGTAGCATAGAACACAGTCTGTGATAGGGCTGGATGACAGTGAGTGATGTTTTCAATGAGGTGGACACATAAAACTAGCTTCCAATTGACATCGCTTTCTCTTGACTGCAAACCATTTGCCATATTAGAATAATCAAACAATATGATGCTTCAGGACTATTTACAATGACACTTTTAAAATTATTCAAGATCAAAGATAGTGACAACTTGACTAATGTCTGACAATTGTAAAATAGAAAAAGAAAAAGAAAGTGAAAATATATCTTCTTTTGAATCACAAGAGGCAGCCATTACAACTGCAGCTAAATTATGAATGTTATTTCTGGTAACGTTACATAGAAAATTATTCAGTAAATTACAGAACGATGCTCGGGATACACCATCAACCTGTCTCTATATTTTACGATGAAAATACTTTCAAAACGCTTCATTTCAACATTGAAGTACCCATTAAAAGGTGCAAAAATACCCTAATAATTCTCATAGGTTTTCTGTTGGCTGGACAGAACCAGACCCTTTCATAAGAAAACTGCTTTCATTGTCCCTGGTGGGTAATTAGAACTCAACGTTGTGTTCAAACCTTCATGTGACTGAAGGTTCTTCACTGATTTCAACAATATTTCAGTCATATTGAAAGAATTTCAGCATACAGAAGGAACATATGGATACATCCACCGTGGAGAAACCTAACATCATATTAAGGTGCCAGAAGATCAATGGCATTTATCTCGTTTTAAATTAACAGCCATTCCATGTGGACTCTTCCACATGGTGACCTCTCTACTAGGTCATACTTCCATGGTTTAAAAACATCTTACTAGTCTTGGCACTGAGATCATATTTGGGAACTGGCATCAGGCATACAAGTGCATCAGCCCAGCTCCTCAGAAAAAATCTCTTTGGGAAACTGAGCCTTGCACAACACCTTCCAGCTTGACATTCAATGTCTCTGTGATTTGATTCATTACAATAACAGTGACCACTGCTTCGAAGTCCCAACAAGATCCATCAGTTATATAAGAGTTAAAAGAAAGAAAGACATCCACTACAGGTTGACAGCATGAGATAACCCACATTGTCCACTAAGTTTAGACTAGTAATACTTAATAAGTTCAACTTAATTAGAGCCACTCCTTTTTCTACTTCTTCTCTTGGCTTGAACTGAAAGCCATGATTAACTGTGCATTGACACACTATGACTAATGACTTTCTGTCAATGCCACAAACCAGTAAGCACTACTTCACCTTTGCTTTCCTCTCCAGCATTAACTAGACAAAGCACTTGTAGTTAACCGGATGACAAAAAATGGCAATTGCAAAACAATTTAATATCAAGTATTCACAACTGTAGGAATGGCAACGGTCGCAGTTCACCTCTCTATCACACAAGTTGTATAGTTGAAATAGTGAAAAATAGTCATTAAATATACTATACATCAAATTTGTTTAGGGGCTAAGGATGATGATGGTAAATGGTTGTAGTTATGCCTTGTGATGAATGTTTATATACAAAATGATTGATTGATGGTAATTATGACAGCTTGCTATAGTTACCAACGCCAGATATATATAAATGTATATATTATCAAGGCACCAGTTCTCAGAGCTAGTTCATTAATATACTCCCCATTAAACACACACTTCCTCACAGGCTGAAAGAACATATCACCTTTTAAACATGAGTCTCATTGAAAGAAATTTAACATTAATCAAAACATTTGGCTACATCAAAACATTAAATGTGGCGCTTCATGTTCCATTACAAGCAGATGCCTTGTATTGCTCACAGATTTTCTGGACTAAACCAAATCGACCAGCATATTTTAAAAGGTGACCTGCATTTCAGCCTATTATCAACTAAACATTTCACATGGACCAATTGCATATTTGACAACTAATGTTAAACCCCAGGGTACTTATAATTAGTCAAGTTACTGGTGGTTGGCTCATTGGAACTTTTGATTTTTCCTTCATGATTTTGATAAATGAACCACAAAACGACTGATTGAATAAACTTACATAATTTTGAAAAGCATTATGACTGAAGAAGTTATCTGCATTTAGATAATATTAATAAAATCAGATTAAATTTGATGTCTCATGATGTTAGAATGGTTTAATCAGTTAAATGGAAGATGGCATATTCTACTTCTTTGAACACATGTAGGCCTTTTGATGGCAGTATCACCTATTGAGCTGGACATGAAACACTGATTTAAGTAGAAATATGAACTTAAATGAATTACAATTTTCTTCTTATTCAGTCTTGATTCCTGCAAGACAGCAACAGATATTCACTGTTAAATATATTTAACATTAACACAATTTTACTGAGGATTTTTATCAACCTCTCAAAACTAGAAAATATTTCGCATTGATAAGGGTTAATTTGTTTTCAGTTTATCTTAACACAATGTTTAAATGAAAGGTAAAAAAAAATTCTAAAAAATCTCTATTACACAAAATACAAATGTCACAGGCTTCGAAACTCCAAATATACCTGATCAAATCCTGTGAAATATTTGAATATTTCTACTGGAATAAACAGTCATACAGTTATCGACAGTAGAAAGAACCGGTTTCTTCTATGAATGTTTCAAGAAGTCCCCCATGTGAGCTTTCCAGTTTTGAGCGGAAGGAAAACAGTACAAGTGATGAATGTTTTCTAAATCGCTTCTTTTTGTCGTTGATTTAGTGACCAGCTTAAACAAATACATAGCCCTGTCCAAAGTTCTTTCCTGTTTGGGGGGCAGCTTAATGATAAAGCCCATCCATTTCACATGTTGAGTAAAATACACATAATCATTATCATCATATAATGGAACATCATTAATAACAATCAAAACTGCATAACTAATTAGTGAGAAACATGTCAGTCATTTGAGATAGTACAAAAAAGAAACATTTGTTTGAAATTTCACATACTTCGATCAAGCTGATTGAATCTTAGCAGTTGTTCAGCATGACTCTGGAAGAATCTGAGTACAGATCTAGATTCAGCATGTGGGGAATAGATCTCGGTGTTTGGTGTGATGAGCGAATACTTTAACCACTATGCTATCGCACCGCCCTTTAAAACTTGTTGAGTCTCAAACCAGCATCAGACTGCAATGAACCAAGTAAAATGACAATCCTGCCCTAATTTAATTAGGTGACATTGATATCAACATGGCAGGGACCCATTCTTGACGTTAAAATCTATAAGGTATCCACTTTGTTTACCTGTCTAGGAGCATGGCCTGTGGTGACAGAGATGTATAGGTTAGATCAACTATGTGCATACTCTCATATGCCCTTTTCATTATTACTCAATGTGTATGAGTTTAACTGAGTGATAAACATGTTTCCTATAAAAAAGCAATAAATTTAAGATTGTCAAGATTGACAAGAAGATTCGGATAGTCTACTAGACTGTGACTAGACTTCACATCTCTGAGAAGGAATACTGTTATACAAAAGGAACTGAACATGGTTATCCTGTATCATCGGGTTACGCCAGCATTGAGCCACTTAACACAGTTAGACCCTGTACAAGTGAATAGATAGGTCAATGTTTTCCATGTATCTAAAACCACTAAGCTTTAACCATAGCACCTTAAAGGAAATAATGTTTGGAACCAAGCTGTTGGGCACAAGAAATAAGAGGTGTTTGCAGTGAGTGAGTTGGGGTTTACTTCCCTTTTAGCAATATCACAGCAGGGGACACCATAAATGGGCTTCACCCATTGTACCCATATGGGGATGGAACCCGGGCATTCAGCATGATGAGGGAACGCTTTAACCACTAGGCTATCCCATTACTCAGAAATATTTGTAGTAACCATGGTAAATCCTGAAATCTTCTTGCAAATAACATAGGAGACTTTTATTGAGTGAAATATACCAAAATGTACATCAATGTAATGTTGGTTTATCTTAATTCACATCATATTACTGTTTTACGGAATAATAAACTCATTATTTGTTTTTCAATGTATTTTTCCAAAGGTTTGGCATCTGTGTGCTACCAGAGTCATGCTGCCTTATATGTCCTCTCATGGTTTATTAAATTAAAATTTTCAGGGCGTGTCCTTTTGAGTGGGAACTATTTGGGGGAGAATATCTACAGCTGTACCTTATGATTATCAATAATCATGTTCCAAACTATTATCTGTAAAAACTACAAGAAAATTACAAACACTGTAGGCAATTATCAACCAATATCAGTTGAGTCATTGTTAAAATATGAATATGTTAAATTTCAAACAATTGTTTAGTCCTGTTATGCATATTAAACATGGAACATGGACATTTTTCATGACAAAGAAAAAAATGTACTCATGATTAACAACACGATCATTTGGCGGAAACAAATAATGTTAACCAGTTTCCATGGGAGCTGGAAAATAAACAGCAACAGAATATTAGTTTCTGCAGACAAACTTCATTAATTTAACAACTTATACTACCATAAATAACATTTAGACAAAGAAATCTACTGGAAAAAAATCAGATAGTTATGACACTAACCAAGTGTTTCTAAAACACTACAGAGTGTGGGCCGTCATTATCACATTGTAGATAAAAACACTCCACAGTGAAACTACTGCACACTGTCCTATGTCAAACAAAGCTGCAAATCTATCACCCCCGAATGACTACAATTGACTCTTCCACTGACATAATGAAAGATAGTCCACTGAACACTGAGGGATGGAAGCTACAAAATCAGCAAATCTGGTAAAAAAAATGCCTCCATAACTAAAATACTTAAGATAAGTTATATTAATTTCAAATCAAATATTTATATACTTGGCCACAAACCAAAATGACTTAAAAATTTTAATTTTCAGCAAAATCAAAATAAATTAACCAAACATGTATGGGTGTCATAATTTGAAACTGACTGACTAAATAATCTTGACCTCTTCATTAAGCAAGTTCCAGAAGCACGACCTGAGAATGTTACAAAAACAAGACAGTATTCACATGAAGAAGACTTGTCCCTTCTTCACTGTGTCTGGTCATACTGTTTCGAGTGACGTTTCATTAGCTACCATAGCATAAATTGTTTTTAGATTCGCCATTTGCTGCTGAAGAACCCCTTTTCGTCTAGGGTCAGGGAGACGCAATCCTAGCACACATTGTGTCTCTGTCACCATGGCAACTATTGAACTGCCAGCTGCACATTTATTGCTCAATCTCTTCCACACAATTCACTTGGTTTGCCTTAGCCCATATCAACTGGGCTGGACTGATCACTGTCACTTTCTTCGTCGGAGAAGTTTTCCGACGGTGTTTCGGTGGCAGTTCGAGAATGCACATCGGATGAACCGAGACTGGACTGTCGAGATAGAGCGGCGGCCGTCATGGCGGCTACTTCTGCTTCGGTGTCGCCTGCGCTGAGGTAGGACTGAGCTGCAGTTGCCTGACGATACCTGGAGATAACATTGAACATCTTTCAGCAACGTAACCGAATGATAAGGCAAAACCATTATAATCAGTTTCTATAATAAGTAATGCAAATCACACAATTTTTCAAAAAGTATCTATCAGAAAGTAATTGTGTTCACTAATATTTTATCAACAACACATCTAAGTGATTGATATTCTGAGCACCATTTCTGTGTCGGGGCACCATGACCACATTCCACCCCAAATTCATGGTTTTCGCCCCTTTAGACAAACATACAGATTCTGTGGACTTTTTCTTAATACGGTTTAGTTTGGTTGTTGTTTAACGCAGGACTCAGTAATGTTCCAGCTATATGATGGCATTCTGCTAATAGTCGAGTCTGGACCAGACAATCCACTGATCAACATGATGAGTATCAATCTTCACATTTGGGATACGATGACGCCTGACCACCTAATCCCCTTAGTCGCCTCTAATGACAAGCATGGGTTGCTGAAGATCAATTCTAACCCAGATCTTCACTGTTTCTTCTTACTGTAAAACCCAATGGGTCTCTGTGGGCAGAGGGCTAATACAATACAGGATATGTAACTGTGTGAAGATGCCCTCCCACTGGGTGTTTAGTGTCAGGATTTGGGACTCACCTGGCCTGTTGTTGGCTGACTGCCATGGGGTCTATTGGGCGGATTGCAGCAGAACTGGAAGGCAGGGCACGAGCATTCTGACCCATTTCTGGAAAACCAAGACTAATTTTAAACAAATGCAACATATACTAACATTTTCCTATGTTTAAGTAGAAACATGTTTTATCTTAGCGCAAAACAGGAAACACAGGCAGAGTGGGTAATCTTAGCTCAAGATATGATTCTAAGGTCAGAGGTAAGAATGATGGGGGACAGAGAGACGATACCAAGGCAGAGAGGCCAAAATGAAGCCCCTTGTCCAGAAGGTCCCTCTCAAAACTTGGTTGGTAGATCAAAAGCTGTCTGCACTGTAATGTTGACTATGAGACTTATCACTGATATGACTCTTACAGAAAAGACACTCAGACATGAAATAGTATGCAGGGATTTATCTGGAGTCCTGTATTTGAGGGTCCCTGGGACTCATACTCTTAATTTTCAGGGGTCCTGCACCACAAAATGGTGTTCCCAGACACTTTGTATTGTGTATCATGATCATCACATTGTTACTGTAATCAAGTTGCAAATGATACCATAACCCAGCTAGTAGCAAGCTCTTTGATAACTTACTGTTACTTGATTGGAATTTTTACAAACAAGTATTTGGACTTCTTCTGCATCACCGTGGATGCGCTACTATATTTCATTGCGTCCATTGTCAAGTTTTATGCGTATAGGAAGCAGGAATTCGCGTCCCGTAAATCTGAGTATGTCTCGTTTTTTGTGAGTGGTCTTCATGGAATGATCGCACAATCATTGAATACAGTGCCCCTTCATATTCAACTTTAACGGAAGGGCACTTCATTTGTCCTGTTTCGACCACGCATTGAAGAAAATCTTAACAAAAGGCACATCAGCAGTAAGCCTAACCCACCTCCATGGGACCACTGCACTCACCTATAACATAGGGCTCCAGAGCTTTGGGAACCATGCGGGCAGCTTTCACAATGTCTTGTGATGTACACTGGCCTTTCTCCAGGTTAAATGCCATTCCCATTCTTTTTAGAACCTCGATGTCATCATGAATTTCAAATGTGTTATCAAATTTAAACAGGTATTCATATCTGAAATAAGAATAGAATTATGTCAGAATATCATCCTAATACAGTTAACCACACATCCATAAGGTCAACTTACACTACAGCATTCATCATCATCACCACCACCATCACCATATGAACACCTCGCTACTTTGTGAATGTTGCTTTAAGCCACACATAGCATTGATCAGGGATTTTCATGGAGTCCTGTATTTGAGGGTCCCTGAGACTCATACTTTTCAGGGGTCCTGGACAACAACATGGGGGTCCCAGACACTTAAATATTATTATTAATACTGTCATTGTATTGTGTATCATGACAATCACATTGTTACCATATATACCATAACCCAGCTAGTAGCAAACTCAGTGATAATGTATTGTCGCTTGATGTAGTCCCTGTGGATGCGCTAATATATTTTGTTGCGTCCATTGTCAATTTTTATGAGTATAGGATGCAGGAATTTGCGTCCTGTAAATCCCTGATTGATCCTGATAAGAATAAGTGAATCTGTAAAACAGTGAGTGAGTGAGTTTAGAGTTATAGTCACATCAGCAATATTTCATCCACACCGTGACTAAAAAGGTCATACGTTAATAATACATAATGTTATATAATAAAATCTGTCGCAAAAGAACTTGGTGATCTAGTAACTTATATTTTGACTGATCCAGTCTGGACTGGACACAATGAGACAGTCAACTCAGTCACATGACTATTTGATCCGACAAGCATATGTTGCTTGAGACAAGTTATTACCCAGATCCCCACAGACTTAATTTGAACAACTGATTTTCACTCATGATCTTATTGTCAGTGTTAAGATGAAAGATACTGGTTGTTTAAAGGACACTCACTTGTCATTTGATATGCTGCAATCAATGACTGTCTTTTTACTTGTATTCACGATGATAAACGGCAGCTGGATTGCAGAATTAGACCCTGGGGGTCCTTGCGTCTTTTCTAACTCCCGATTTCTTTGCACCAAATTTTTAAATGCTATTTGCTGAAATAAGAAAGCAGCTATATTCATATCTTATGGAATAAATATGAAAGCCTTCAGATGATGTATACAAAGATATCTTAATAATGTTGTTTGAATCTGAGGAGCTTCATCAGTTAATCAGATAAAGTATTACAATCATTCCTATACAAGAAAAAATAACTGTTCAAAATGGAGTATTTTACATGCAGTAGATGCACTTAAATACTGTTTTAGTTCTAGCAATAGTTATTCAACAGTCAAATGATCCAAAAATGGATTTAATTTTCTCTTATTTACGTGAATGATACAGAGAAAATATGTTCTTGATGGAATATTCATCAATTATAATTCATGATCAATAATTTTATTCATCAATTGACAAATGCCTTTTTTTAACCAATCCATAATCTTGCAATTCCTCATTTCAAGGGAGACAACTCTGGCTCTGCTTGATGAACGCTACAGGTGAAAGTTCAATGGAAACTCTTTGTCATACACACAAGAACATCAATCCAATTGTCAGAATAAAAACCTTCAGGTAAACACCATCCGTTGTGTTTGTTTCAGGCAAGGAAAGGCCTTAGTTTCTGTGAGGTTTTTTACAAATCAAAATCATTTAGAGAACTGAAATGGATTTGAAATTCAGGGACTAAAATTGTGTTGAGCAGGTGCTGACATAAACTTACTTGTAAAATAAGTTCTTGCAACTGTTGTGTTTTATGTTTTATCCTTTCTAACCTTCGTTGTTTTTCCATCTGAAAGACAAAGACCAAACTTCAGTGATGTATTAGCATGAAACTGTTCATCATCTTCTGGGTTCCTGATTCAGACTGATGTGGACATAACCTAAGTTAGTCCTAAAATATTTTAATTCAGTCTTGGAAAATATTAATCCAAAAATACTGCACTAACAGTGCTATCCTGTACAAAAGCAATAACACTTCTTTGTTAGATCCAATAAATAGCCTGCACTACACAAGGAACACTCTGCCAAAGTCTGCTGGTATATGTGGTCACTGTGTAACTCAAACTGGAGTGAGTGAGTGAGTGAGTGAGCATGGTTTAATGCCGCTTTTAGCAATATTCCAGCAATATCACGACGGAGTACACCAGAAATGGGCTTCACACATAGTGCTCATGTGGGGATTCAAACCTGGATCTTCGGTGTGACAAGCCAACACTTTAACCACAAGGCTACCTATCTCCAATTTAAACAAAAGAAGCTGATAAAGAATGAGTAAATTTTTTGTATTCTGTAGAAAACAATAGTAATAGTGCCTGTAATTAACCAAGTCTAGGCCAAGCAGGCTAGTGGTTGATAACATGAGCAGCTAACGTACACAATGACATAGTAAGGTGACAAAATCAGCTGGAGTCACACTGCCTTCTGTTGGATTTTGATAATTTATGGTGGAATTGCCGAAAACAATTCTAAGTTACAACCTTTCTTAATGCTATCATTTATGTTACATACAGGTTACATGGATGGCTTACTGACTTGTAACAAGCAAAATTGTTGAATTGGCTCAAAGGTAATACCTCTAAATTCTGGCATTCCTGAGCTGAGTTGGTAGGCAAGCCTATCCACCGGATTTCTTTCTTCTCTTTAGAAATAATATTCATAGCCATTAAGACATTGAGAGCGTGTAGACTCGCCGCCGGATATTCTTCTGATCATATGCCTGTAAACAAATACCATCAAACCTTTAACATACATGTTTCAAAAATACAATCCTAACAATACCATGTTTGTTGTATATCATGCTATCATCGATGCTTCAAAGTCTCTGTTCATTTAAAACATATCATTCATTGATCGAACCAGATTCTAATTAAGAGTATGTTTCTTCCTGAATTGAATCTGTTCCACAAAGCAATCGCAGTGTTATGTTAATTTTCAGGACCTGTGAAGATCCGGGTTAGAAATGATTGTCAGCAACCCAAACTTGCCATAAGAGGCGACTAACGGGATTGGGTGGTCAGACTTGCTGACTTGGTTGACATATGTCAAGGTATCCCAAGATTGATGCTCATGATGTTGATCACTGGATTGTCTGGTCTCGATTATTCACAGACCACTGCCATAAAGCTGGAATATTGCTGAGTACTGCATAAAACTAAACTCACTCACTGTTAATTTTCAGCTGATGACAAAATCTTGAATGTCAAAACTTTGTCACTGGTGTGCAAGCGAGTGATTACTGAAGGATAGCAATATACACTTGCCCCGACAGTAACGTTGTGTGAGCATGTTATTTAAGTACTTAAGTCTTATCCTGGAAACACTTACATTGACTTGGTCAGAAGGGGGGTAGTGACATGTTGCGTGGGTCTGTGAATTCTGCCACCAGCTCATCGGCAACTTCATTGTAGGAAGTCACACCTTTCTTCTGTACTTTCTCACAGACTTTCATAGAGAAATGCCTCAAACCTTTCCCACCCTTCTCTCCTTTCTTTCCCCGCTTACTGTAACAACAAAACATGCAGCAAACATTAATATCTGCAAGTTTCAAAATGACCTCTTGCTGAAAACACTGTCTCATAGATTAGTGCCAGCAAGTATTTAGCATGTTTGGTAAGTCAAAACAAAATGTCAGTTTGAATAAAAGGACTTGAATCCTTTACTTGTAAATCCATTATATGTGGTAATACTTACCCTTGGACCATTACAATATTATTCAAGTATAGTTAGGGCAGTACAGCTTTGAACAAGAAGACAAAGTCATCAATATCCCTCGCAATGGCAAAATACTCTTCATGATTATGTCTACGAGTTATGATTATGTCAAATATTTAGGTGTGTATATAGAAAATAGGAAGGAGAGTATTGAAAGGTTTTTAAAGTTCTGCTCCAGAAAGGAGCACTATCACCAATTTCAGTCTATGTAAAACTTGTTGCCATGGAAATCCCAAAAATATTTTATTCAGACATCCAAAACTACCAAAAGGCACCAGTACACCACCAGACCAATGTATGTGCCAAGTTTGGTGAAGAAATAGTGAACGGTTTTAGAGTTCAACTCCGGAAAAGAGCACTACCACTAATTTCAGTTTTAGTCAAACTTGTTGCCATGGAAATGACAAAAATATTTTATTCAGAATTCCAAAACTACCAAAAGGCACCAGTAGACCACCAGATCTATCTATGTGCCGTGTTCTGCTCCGGAAAAGAGCACTACCACCAATTACAGTCTAAGTCAAACTTGTTGCCATGGAAATGCAAAAAAATATTTTATTCAGAAATCCAAAACTACCAAAAGGCACCAGTAGACAGCCAGATCTACCTATGTGCCAAGTTTGGTGAAGAAACATTGAACGGTTTTTAAGTAATGCTCCGGAAAAGACAAATGTGCATGGACGGACAGAGAGAGTCCGTTTCTCTCTCTCTCACACACACACACACCACAAAATGCCTTGAAGGGTATAACAAAACAAGATGGTACCATGAAGAAACAGTAAAAAGTTTACCTCCCTCAGTCAAATAATTTAAGAGAAGAAATTGTGTAAACAGCTCAAATGCCTTTTGAAAGAATTTAAGCGCATGGTCATAGGGCAATACTTTATGGATTTCAAGCATTAAATTTTCTGTATCCCACTGCTAAATTACCATGTACTAAGACATTCATTAGATTCTCCACAAACAACAGACAAATAATGGCCATAAATAGCAGCCATATTGAAAACTGGATTTGAACCCCTTGAACAAATTCAGATGTCAACATTGGTGGGAACAAGCATGTACACTTTCAGCTTTAATGGCTAAGTGGTGCAAAAATTCTAGGGCATAATCAAAGTACTATGGTCAAATCTAAATCAAAACAAATACATCATGACAAAGGAGTGTTGCATAAAATGTGTTGTGTAAAAAATATGGACTATTGTCACTAAGTACACTGTATTAAAACAGCAATGAAGGACTAAGATAATCAAGTGAGACGGAACTTACTTATCCCCATAATCAGCTTCAATAGTTATCTCCCCTGCTCCTCGCTTCTTGGCCGACCAGGGTGAGGTTGGATCAACCGGCATCATATGTCGAGGACTGGACGCAATCATATGTGGAGACCCCTGGTGGTGAAGACACACATACGTAAGTCGTTTGACAACTTGGTAATACTGCAGAAATGCAGTTCTAGATGATTACACAACTAAATATTTCTCTCAGTCACATATGATCTGGTCTTTTCCAAGCTACATTCATTAGATTGTGAACCTGATGACCAATGACCTTGAACTCATAAACACATAACTGAAGTGATTACTGGTAAGCACACTTCCAACAGAGCATTGAGTAACTAAATGTCATTTGGATAAAAATTACAGAAGAAATAGAAAAATCACATGAAACAATTAACCAGGCTACCATACCTTGTCCATAAATACTCAAATGTTCATAAAACCTATGCCAGATTCACATTTTCGAGTTAACGCCACCCACTTCTTAGAGACTCCAGTAATATCACAACATCAGTTCCTTAAAATCAATTTGTTCAAAGATAAAGTGAAATTACAGCATTTCGTGTTTTGACTATCATTAGATGTTAACGGTAAGACTATTTCGTGGAACAAACCCACGGTAGACATTGTTTGAACCACGATGATGTTGAGCCATCTCAACATGCTAAGAACAACTTGCACTTTTATGAGTGAGTATGATTTTACACTGCTTTTAGCAATACTCCTTAAATATCATGCTGGGGGACATCGGAAATGGGCTTCACACATTGTGCCCATGTGGGGAATTGAACCCGATTATTCTGCATGATGAGAGAATGCTTTACTCTTTTCGACCACCCCAACAACAAATGTATGGTTCTTACTTGTGCATTGATGGCTTTAGGAAGCAGTTGTGGCTCTACTTTGTAAGGTGACATCTTGGCTGGTGAGGCGATGGGCACCGCAACAAGTATGGCTGAAAAACAAAGAATGTATTATGACGTGAATAGTTATAGTGGTTAAATCAAAATAGAAGTTGAAATTCACCTTCAATATCAACATATCAGAAATCACTAAGAAACAGAGAGAGTAATTCTAAAGGCTGATGACCGCCCTTTTTTATGGTTAATGTCAGTAACATAATATGATCTCTGCATACAAACACAATTTTCAGATGGATGACTGGGCATACAACATTTCTTGAGATTTTTTTTCTTCTTAATTAGTGAGATATCCAGACAGAAACTATCCTGCCGCAAGTATTTCAGTCCTGACATTTACTTGCAGTGAATAACTTCTGAAATACTTACGAGTTTTATGGTCTTTGAATCCCCGCAATTCACCATGTGAATCAATGATACCAGTCTGAAACAAACATAAATTCATACAGAATATGTTCATAATGGCAGAATTTGACTCGGGTTTCACAAATCTTCAAAACCAAATCATGTATGGTGAATGAACAATATCGAAATGTCTTTTATGGGAAAGTACAGAATACAATTAATTTCATGTTTATGACTGAGGCAGGACAGAGGCTAACAACTGTAAATTATAAATTTCAAAAGTTTTATACCAAATCATTGCTATAAGGAAAATATTCTTATCGATGTTAAAGATGTAGCTTCCTGATTTGTAGAATTTACATTATAATATTTCAGAAACATTTTATGCACCTTCTTGCTTCAGTAATGAAAAATGTCAACAATAAGCTGAACGTCATAAACTTCAAATTGTCATCCAAATATCATATTATTGGTACAGACAGATGATAATAGGAAACAGATGCAGAGTCTTGCTGACCCCATGGAAATGACAGCATCCTGAATACAATTCTGAACACTGGGGGATGGATGATGGACCAGACAGACTAGTGGCTGGTAGTGTGAGCAGCACACAATTCATCAAATGGGCACACCTAGATTAGTGGTCGATAATATGAGCAACATCCTAAACTGTCTGAAAATGAGACACACTATGACTAAATTCATCAAGTTGGAACACCCAGCTCCAGCTCACTCTGAATCACTACAGAACACTGAACATATGTTCAGCAATTCCTCACTGAGTGAGTGAGTGTTTAGTTTTATGCCGCACTCAGCAATATTCCAGCTATATGGCAGCGGTCTGTAAATAATCGAGTCTGGACCAGACAATCCAGTGATTAACAGCAGTGATCGGTCAACATCGACCGGCGCAATTGGGAACTGATGACATGTGTCAACAAAGTCAGCCAGCCTTGACCACCCGATCCCGTTAGTCGCCTCTTACGACAAGCATGGGTTACTGAAGATCAATTCAGAGAGATCCTACTGAGACTTAACTCTCTCAAGCTATAAAACCCATTGGCATTCCATCCGAAGTGTATGTGAGTTGGGTTTAACAATGCTTTTAACAGTATTCCATTCATACCACAACATACAAGGCAGCCTTCAGTCAGTGAGTGAGTGAGTGAGTTTATTTTTATGCCGCTTTTAGCAGTATTTCATCAATACCACAGCGGGGGACACCAGAAATGGACTCCGCACATTGTACCCATGTGGGGAACTGAACTGGGTCTTTGGTGTGAAGAATAAACGCTTTAACCACTAAGCTACCCCAGGTAGCCTTCAGCCAAAGCAAGGGCTATGATGATGACTAGTAAATGACTCTGAGTCTTGTTTACATTTCCACTGCAAGAAATACAGTATTTCCAGCTGGTTCAGAGAACACAGCTCAGACTGCATAAACAACAGCAGCTACAATGGTGTCTACAAGCATGACAAGACGTCTTTACAAAATGTCATTCTGAAAACAATTTCAAGCACCTTGTTCAATGAACCTGGTTCAGAAATTATGGTGAGCTAGTGTATAAATAACAGCACAGTAGAATCTGTCAAGTAGGCTTACAAACAAAGACAACAATATCTGTTATCAAACCTCAGATTACTGCATTATCGATTCAACAATTGAGTACTTGATGTCAGAGCTCTTGTAGTGAGCACTTCAGTTGGCGATCAGATGGAGCCGAGGCAGATTATAACAGTTTGTTATTCAAATGTAGTCTCACATGATACAGAAAATGACAGACGATGTCAATAGAGGGGTGTACACGTAAATATTTAAATGATTAAGATGCAATGAAAAACATGATTCGACAAGTGGATGGAGGTAAAATTAACACTGTTGGACTCTGTATAAGTTATAACCAAGTATCCAGGGACAAAAACAGCACCAACTTATGACTTCAAAAATTCAAACAAATGTTTTGAAAAAGTCTAGACATTTCCAATCGGGTATATAAATAAAAAAAAGACTTCATTTATACTACACCTGTCATGAGCATGATCAATGATCTATTTCAACAACCTCCAAAACATATCAACATACATAAAATGTCATATCATAATAATCAAGTCATCATGTGATCATTTCATGAACAGCAGAAATAGATTTCATTTTCATTTTCACAAAATTGTTAAAGCATGACCGTTCTCATCTGAGAACTGCACAATGCCAATAAACATTCAAAACCATGAGCTGTCAAACAACAAAAACAGAAAGGAAAAGAAAAAGGCATGATAAATTCAAATATTAAACTCTAAAAACACATTTGGTAGCAACACACAAACCTCAAAAATCCACAAAATTCCTCAAAACCCCACAGCCTATCTGTCCATGTGCTATAAACACCAAGCAGCTTGTTGTCCAATGAATATGACATCTACTCCTTCCACAATCCAAGATGAAGGCCAAGTACATACAACAAGCAAGCCACCCCAGGTTGACCCGACAGTCTCGCCTTCATCTTGGGGCTTTCTTATTATAATCAGCGACAGGTGTTTCTCGCTTGGCCCAGTCAGTCACCGCTTCTGTGACCCCAGTTTATGTGTGATGGAATGAACAAAGAGACACCAGTCAGCTTTCAAAAGAACCACAGCTACAGCATTGGTTACTAGCTGTCGGTTGGAAATTCCCCTACCATGCTTGTTGAATCTCGGCAACAGAGACCAATGATCAACCCAATTCTTATTGATTGGCCATACCTTGGGTTATATTTCACCCACTCTAGAATGCTTCTAAGGATAGGCAGTGGCTTAGCATTTATATCATTTCTGGTTAAAAATTTGTTTTATTTTAAGAGCCGTGCATTGTATTACAAGTAAAGAAAGACGTCTGTTTGTACTGGCCACATTTCATAAGTCATCCATGAGACATTTTATACTGTTGACATTAAGCACTTGGTAATGCAACAGGTTTCAAAAACAAATAGCTATACATAGATTTTACCCTTTAGAAACTGAACTGAGGGAAAGTATGCTATTACAAACCATTGAATATTTTCGAATTCTGAACCACACTGTAAACATCCAAGATGAAACCTTTTATAACAAGTCCATAGTTTCAACAATAGGCCCTAAAGCCTCAGCTGCCTTTACAGAATCCCATGGAAAACAATTTGTCAAAACTGCAAATGTCCTGCTACATAGAAGGTAGGAAATATTTTAAGTTTTGTGAGCAACAGAGACTGACAAACACTGGAAACTTGACTGTCATTCAATCCCTGCATGTTTGAAATCCTATCCTTGCCCAATATTAAAGGAAGCATAGCTTCCTAACTCACTTCATCACTCACTTCCAGCAAACATCACCATCAAAATGACCAGGAGCACTGATATTCATTTACAAATGTCATACACATGGGTTTCCAACAACCAACTCACTCTGGTCGAATAGTCATGTGTGTATCCTTGCATCCAAACACCAGTGAAAGTTCAAAACATCATTTTCCTCCAATTTAGTGAGGATCTTTCTCTTTTCTAAGCTTCATGTTATAAAGACACAAAACATGCACATATTCGCATTCACCAATGAAACAAGACCCACATTCTTCTTTCCTTCATCACCACGTGTATCCATCCAAACTCCTACCCCATGACAACTTTCAAACAGAACCTGTGAGTCTACAGGGGGTAACCCAACAGCCTATTCCAGATTCAACAACCCCACAAATCCCCAAATTTCAAAATCCACATCCTACCTACCCTTCAAGCAGGAACCCAACTGACAGACTACAGTGAGATTTTCAACAGTCTCCACGTTGTCCCCACCAGCCGAGTGAGTGGCAAGCTATGTAATTAGGTGCAAGTGCCATTAGCAGTATTTGTGTTGATAAGCCCTGTCCAGATGAGCTCAGCAGCCACAGCAGCTACTCTCTCCATTGTCTCCTCCAACATCCGTCATGCACCAGTGACTGGTGATGATCCACACCAAACAATACAACTCTCCAGTCAAGCTTGCTTAGGACACACCAATTGCACTAAGGGTTGTTGGGTGGGATTAGTGTTAACTGGCCATAGTAAATTGGTGTTTTATAGGAGGCAATTAGGGAGTATAGTGAACTGTTGTTTCAAGTCCTTTTGCCAATTTTCAAATCTTGGACATATTTTCTCCCATCTTGATATACTTCAAATTCATTGGTGAGGATGTTCTGAAGCATATTAATTCATTATAAGATTGTCCACAGCCCTGCAGTAAGTACTGGCCACCTGTGGAGTTAATTGTCATCTCCTTTCTTGGTAACAGGTTACAGTGCTGTAACACTGTTGATTTGACTTAGTCCTTGTATCTTTCAACTCATGACTTCCTCTGAGACTTGAGCCACTGCTCCAAACCCACATCTAGCATCTTTCATTTTTGTCTTATGAGCTGAAGTAATAACAATCAATAAACTAAAATCTACTCCCAATGATGCTGAGACTCTGAGTGAGAGCAATGCACAGAGTAGTTGTCTCGAAGTTTTTAGTACAGAGTGTAATATTTCCCATTTCAACATTAACATACATTAACACAAGCCATTTACTTTCCTGAGTAAGCATAAAATACATGCAACCCATATTATACCAGTCAACTGAAGATGCAGATAAAGAACGGGAATATTATTTTATGATTCTTAAGGCTGTATTCCAATACATATCACAATATTTTCTTTAATTCTAAATTTTGAATTTTGAATTTGAAGCAATCTGAAACATCAGTGTATGAATTGATCAGTGAAGGATTTTACATATCTTTTAACATCAAAGTGACAGCAACACTTCAACTCCATAGGGCTTCTACAACAGCAAGTGGAGCTGTACAATCAATGTGAAGAAAATATCAATATTTAACTTTAAATAGTTTCACACAATGTAGGTATTTTTTCAATGAAAGTCAACCATTTGATTACTTGTGTGGATTTCCTTGTGTTGACTTTCCAGAAATTTAACAGAAGAAAATCATAGCTTGTTGATGCAAGAGTATGACTGACTGACTGACTGAGTTTGGTTTTACACCGCTTTTAGCAATATTCCAGCAATGGGCTTCACACATTGTACCCATGTGGG